AAAATCTTCTTCCTCTTCTCTTCTTTGTACTCTTAATATTAGTTTTTAAATAATTTGCTATCCTTTTTTACACTTTCCTTTTGATGGCTCAGTATATCTCCTGAGTACTCAGGTCCAACTGACTCCAGTAAAGAATGATTTCTTTTCTGCTGAGGTGAAAGTTTCTGAAAGTTGGAGAATTGACAGGGTTTGAGAATAAAGATCTACAAAGCACGGACATGCTTTCCTGCTAAATCTGCTCAAGACCTCTCACTCAGGAGAGTTCCACTAGGTAAAAAGGATTGGTTGTTCTTTAGATGAAGCTTTCCAAATGGATAGTGATTACTGCTTGTTTTCTGAGAGTTACTTGTTATGTTGAACGAGTAACAAGTTAGCCCAGCCCTTCTTTTTGCTAGATGGCCTCCAAAAAAGAGTAACCTTTATTTCACAGTGCCCATGACATGAAGGAGATAGCTTTCCTGGGGATAGCACAAACACGGTAACAAACCAATATGCTGGTTTGTTTGCTAGAGCGTGTTTTCAAACAGAAGTGTTTCATGATACAAAAAACCAGTGAATTGTTGTAACATACCTTGCCCATGAGAGGGCTTTGTCTTTATCATTGTATTGACTACCAATATTCTGACTATAAACTTATATTTATGTACTCCACTTTGGAAGCCAAAACCTACTACTCCCTTCAGAATTAAGAGCAAGATTTTGGTGGGCTTTTTTTTTTTTTTCTCCTCTTTTATTTTCTGGTTTGAAGATCAAATAAACATATAGAGAAAAAAGAACCCCCTTGCATCCTGTACTAAAAATCTCTACAACATACGCCTTTTTGAAGTAAAAATAGGCTAAGAAACGAAAGAAAAAAGTCCTTCAGTGACTTGCATTGGAAAGATTTTCTTTTTTTTTTTTCTTGCCTATTTCACAGGAAAATTGGAAGCTGCTTTTTTACTTCTGTTGTCATAAAGCTGCCAAATATTTGTTTTTCCTNTGTCTATTTGTCATAACAGGAAGTGAATAATAAAAAGGCTCAGAGCCAATATACCACCAGGGCAAAACCCTACTCTGCACATTAGTGCTTTAAAGAATCCCATCCCAGTTCTTCCTTTACATCAGTCCAGTAGTCCCTACAGCTCAGCACTTCTTCCCACACAGATAGATGTGATAGATTTGCAAATACTGGCAAGAGCACAGAGACATCTCATTATGAGCTTAATGGCTGAACTGAACGACAGGCTTGGATTGCCTGTATTTTTTTTTGGGGGGGGGGGTGTCAACATTGGCAGGGAGTTAAAAACAGGGTGGAATAAAGGTTGAAATGCTTTCTGAAATTATAATCAAAATATCATCTGTCTTAGGTTTATGCTGTAAGCACTCTGCCTGATGTTGAGTTGTATTGGCAAACAACACGTGCCACTGGGATGTTTAAAAAGTCATAAGAGGTTTGTAAATCAGTTCTGTGTGGCATTCTACCTATTTGTTATTTTCCTGTTTTATCTGTCAACAGGAAAGGAGATAGACGCTACAAATGGCAATATGGTGTGCTTTGCTCTGTTGGGGATTTGTTAGGTGCTTGTATCAGAGTAAATTACAGTGTGATGGAAGATTTGTTACTCTATGGAGGTTGTTAACATGAAGTTATTTGATTTATTTATGTTGAACTGGGGACCTCTCCTCCCATATCAATTATGTCAAAAGCGTAATTTTCCAATTGTGTCTTTTTTTTTCCTCTGCCAGAGAAGTCCTGAATTTCAATGTAGCCCTTTATTAAGGTACAGGAGAAGAAGAGTTAGAGAACTAAGAACTTGGTTCCCACGTCCAGCCTGATGTTTGACCATTATCCTCAAGTCCTAACCTCCCTCTGGTTTAGCTTACTGAGACAATAAACGTGGCTGCCAAATTTGGATGTTGAAATCCATTTCTTTTCTATAGCCATGCTGACATATGCTGAACCCAATTCCCTACATAGTGACTGAACAGGCAGTTTATTGTTGAGTCTTGTTTTCAGATAGCTGCTGGCCTCTTCGGCATTTTCTCCAACTCTGCATTGCTGTCACACTCATGCCATCAGAAAGGAGATATTTTCATCTTTATCAATACTTAGGCTTTGAAAGGACTTCTCAAGCAGGGAAATAAACAGCCTCTGTATAAAGCATTTGTTAATGGGAGGCTGGAAGTCACCCGAACCATTTCTGTGAAGATGACAATTTTCTTTCATTTAACCCATTACTGATTGTGAAAGAGGAAGGCAACATTAAAGTAAAGCTGACAACAGTGATTAAGAAAAAAAAATAAATTTTTATCATTCTAGATTTTCTGCATTTTCCAAATTATTTGTAACTTTGAAGCTTGTTTCTTCCCTGCCTTGTAGCACAGGCACTGTAGTCTCAGAGCACTGAGCAGAGCTGCTGCGGGTCAGAGCCTGCTACTTGCAGCATCTAGAAGGAAGGGTGAGGCAGGCAGTCTCTGACTACCAGCATTTATTGAGTGTACAGTAATTACTTGACATAAAGCTAAAGTGGCTGTGACTTGCTCTCTGTTTTTGAAGATAGACAGAGCTTTTAATGCTGGTTCAGACAAAAAAGCCCTTTATAAATAAGAAAACTTGGTGTGTCAAAATGACAAACCTGTTCCACATTATCCATGAAATAAAAGTGCACACGATGCTGGCTGGTAGGGACTAAGAGATGCATATTAAACCTCTTTTCAGTTGACTTGATGTTTGTCAGAGTTAGCCAGTCACGGCATTCATAGCTGCTGAAGATAGTATTAAGTTTTTTGAGAGCCTCTCAATTTTGTTACAGTCCTCCCCCAAAAAACCAACAAAGCTAGAAATTCAAACACAGCTAAATACCCAGTAGATATGAACACTCACTTTTGTTATTTTTCTATGGCCCAACAAATTATGACTCTTTCCCCATTAACTGGAGGACCATCAATAGGAGGAAGGAAATTTTTTCTAGGCTGAAGGTTTCTGCCCTCCAGCGAATGACTCAGGTGTTCTTTTGAGGAAGCAGAGTTTTGAACTCCCCTGGCAAGAAGAGAGGAAGCAAATCTGAATTTCCTTCATCTGGAAGATTGTTTAATTTGTAATTTATTGTAAATATTACCACTAGACACTTCTTTGGGCCATGTTTTAGAAGAAAGTATTGAGTAGCACCGTATTTCTTGCAGAGCCTGATCCAAATATTCTCTGATGGTCTCAAAGCCATTATTCGAGAGGATGGATAATCCCCATGAATTCTTGTAGATTATGAGTAGAGTTAGGTGTAAAAACAGACTGCAGATCTCTGTTGAGATGAAGGTAATCTGGTCATATTTAGAAACAGAGATTCAGGCACCTGAAAAGTTTTGAAGGAAAAGTTTGTCACCTTGAAATGAATAGAAGCCAGGAGGATCACAGTTCTAGCATCAGACACCTACCTTCCAGATAACTTTCACTTGTAGACTATAAGTACATTACTGAGTCTCAGTTATTGACAGCGTGTGCTATTAAGGGTGACCTTAGGTATTTTAATACAGAAATTTTGCACAATAAGCAGTTCCTTTCATGAATTTTCTCAGTCTCCTTTTCCCTCAAATAATCAAAATGCTGCTGCTGTCACAGTATGCTCTGCTCTGCTTCAGATTATTTTCTACATCAGTTCATGACTCGCAGTTCCCGTGGGCTGCAAATTAATCCTTAGGAGTCTGTTGGCGTGTACTGTACATCCAGGTTCTTCAGTGTATTAATTTGACTATCAGTGTAGAAAATGCCACTGGCTGTAAAGTTATATTACATGTTTCACATTTGTGTTTATAATGTTTGTGTCTGTATAATTCAGAAATTTACTTATAAATTTGTAATCACCATGACTAAACACTTAAGCTTTAAAATTGAAAAATTTTGAGGCTTTTAGGGATCGATTTTTAAAAGTAATGAACAGTGTAAGAGTATTTTTTCAAATGACTTTTCAAATAAAACCATGATTTAATATGGCCTGTCTCTAAAAGCCATACATGCTGTACAAAGTATATACTGTAGAAAGCAGCCCTATAAAATGTGGGTTTGGGTGAAGGATGCCACAGTCCTGTTCCTATTTACTGTGTGAAGGCCTAGTTTTCCTTCCTGTGTAAACTAAAGAGGCCTGGGACTGAATGTACAGGGAGAGCATCAGCCCAGCTTCCACCTGTTTGGGTCCAGCAGCTTTTGGGATTTGGGAGTGAAAGGATGTTCCCACTTTTAAAGAGAAAGTGACAGGCAGCTTGAGTACACTCCCTCCTCTGCTTCCTCAGCTTCTGGGCTGCAGTACTGCGTGGTTTTGTTGGGAGTGGAAAGGTCAATTGTAAGTCAATAGTTTTTGCCTTTTTTTTTTTTTTTAAATCAGCTACTGACATCACAGATTGTGTTAGCATTTACACACTCAGTTTGGTGACAGCACTATTTTTGGGTTTGTTTATTTTTTCCTCTGCTTGGGAGCAATGCTGAAATCCCAGAAGTCAGGGACGGTTACTGCTCCTCTCCCAGAAAGGGAGGATCCTCTCTGGGGATGGGCTGGGGGTCATTTGCTGGGAAGGGAGCGAATCTGCTCCATAGGGATCTCAGGGGAACTGCGCAAAGGAAGCAGCAGAATTTTCCTTTTCCTTGCCCCCGCTTTGTAGCCTAAATGTTCCTTGGGAAGCCGCAACACATAATTTAAATCCATTGCACATGCCACCCTGGAAGCAGAGCCTTATATGTCGAGTGCATGGGCTGTCCTATTATGGGAAATCAACTTTGTTTTGAGGGAAGCACAGAGCATTGCTTCTGCGCAGGTCCTGGAATTTGAAACATTTAGGGGCCTCCAAAGAGCACTGGCATTAGTTACCATGCCGGCCGGGTGGAAGTGAGGATCCCTGCCTCTCCCTGCTCAGGACGCCGCAGACCCTGCCGGCAGCCAGCCCAGAGCGGCATCCCACCCGGGGGATTCCTGCCCTCTCCTCTGCAGAGCTGCTGGGGCTTGTGCGGGGACACATCTGGCATTATGCAGGGACAAGCCTAATTCAGCAAAAGCCACTGGAGCAGCAAAGTTGGGATACACTTTGCCAAGAAATATTTTGCTGTTGTTTTCTTTTTCCTCTGTTTTGTGGAGAGATTTCATGTCTGCTCACATGCTTTGGTATGAGGAAGTGGAAGATGATTGTAAGTATGAACAGACTGACATAATTTATCACAATATTCACTTTGACAGAGCAGTGTAGTGCTACACAGCCCACTAACAGCATGCATTTTTAAATGTTTGCTTTCCAAGTCTAAAGGAGGATAACACCAGAGGGGGAAAATAAAGAGATTTTATTTTGTCTCTGTTAGGGGGCTAATATCCTGTACATTATATATATATAAAAGAATTCCTCCTGAAACAGCACCCAGATCGCCTTTGAATAAAAATAAAACATTTCTTTCTGAAGTTCAACAGTTATTAAAGCATAGGGTTAAAAAAGAAAGAATTGAGAAGACACACCAGTACACTTGAAAAAAAAAAAAATAGTGTCATTATTCTAATAATTTGGCAACACATCAGAGGAGTAATCAGTTTCTTTGAACTGTAATGGCATACGCAGTTTCATTGCCTAATATTAACTTACAGAGTAAGAGAGTTCTTCTCTGGCTGCTGAGCTGTCTGGTATCAACCAAATGAGGGGCTGTCAGTTTTGTTCAAAGGGAGCAGCAGCTGAGCTCTCCCATGCCCTTCCCAGAAAAAAACCAGGCACCTTTTCCAGACTTGCACTTGTTTGTTGGTTTAGAGCTACTCTTTCTGGGCAATAAGAAGAAAGACAGAGGATGACAAGAGTGGGAGACTGAAGAGAGCCAAGAATGAAAGAATGACAGAGAGCTCAAAAATCCATCTACCATGCTCACAGATGATCTTTCTTCCTTCCCCACACAGGCTCTCAGAACAGACTGTGCTGGTGAAAAAAGAAGTGTCAGTGTTGTCTGTACATAATCTATGATGGTCCCTGACCCCTGGTTTATAATCTATTTTGCCTCTTCCACTTTCAGCTTAGTCTTGTGTCTTTATAATAATAGAATGTCTGTTTTTCTCTATTTTCTGATCATAAGAGGCAGAGAAATCTATACACACTCTCATTTACCCCCATAACATATAATGGACTGCATGGTTCCTAACATGCAGTGAAGACAGTCTAAAAATAATGTTAGATTTTGTTATGTTTGACAGGAAAGAAGCTTAAACCAGAAAATTTCAAGGTGCAGGTGTGGCCTTTTGCCATACGCTTTCCCTTTATGCAAGATGAACTCAAACTGTGTTTTCTTGTGCCATAAATAAGACTTGGATAAGCTAAAAATTTTCTAGACATTTTTCTCCTCCTAAGAGAGCTCCTGCAGTGATAGCACCCTTAACTTATTGGACACATTCTGGCAGTTCAAGTAAGGTAGAATAATTAGATCACCATTATCACATATTAAATAATTATGAGACAGTTTACTAGACTTCTGAAAATATTGGGAATGCAGTTGGGAAGAAGAAATGTTGTGGGTTTCTCCTGAGGGATTTTACTCCTGGTTAGCAAGAGGAAGACCATGTACTCTAGAGCAACCCACACAGTGCCCAACCATTTTCACAAGTCCTCTTTGGAGAGAAATAAGGAGAATTTGTTTTCCTAATTTTTCTATATACTCCATTTCCAAGCTAATCACAGTGTCAGCCCAGATTTCTAGTCTTCAGCCTTGAGGAAGAGACAGTGCTGCAAGGAAAGCTGGGGAGGTGCTTACTAAGTAAGGAGGAAAGATACTTGCTGCTTAGTGTAAAAGTTGTAATTGCACTCTGAAGATATAGCGGGTGAAAGAAAGAAAAAAAAATAGTTCTGTTGGAGCTTCTATAAAATATGAATGGAAAACCAGAGTTGCATCTAGCAGATGAATAGCATTCATGACAAGCCTTTAAATCACTTATATGTTATGTTAACTTGCTATCACTTGTATAGTTACATGTTATGTAACTGTGTTAATATCTAAAATGAAATGGTGATGTCCTAGCACTTCTTTGGAATTATTTAGTTGAATTGATTTCCTCACCTGTACCCTCACTCTTTTAAAGAGCATGACATTTTTCTTTATATAATTTTGTGTAACATTGTCAAGGATTTTTATAGTAGTATTTCAATAAAAAAGGAAAATCTATATCTGCACTTTGTGACAAAGTGTGCCCAAAATAATGCTCTCAAATTTATCCACAGCCTTCCTTTGGTATGTGTCACTTCTCCTACTTGTTGTCTGTGCTTTCTTTCCTTCTTTCTCTATTATTGGATGAAAACTTTTTTGCTCTTGGAGGTGACAGTGGTCACTTACACCTTTGCATTATTCTTTAAATACATCCTTTCTCTTCAAGTTTCCTCTTCAACCCTCAATCCACCTCTGCATTCACCCATTCCCTTTTCTGTTCTGTTCTCTTCCATGCCACAGCAGTAAAGACAGGTTCTCCATTCCCTGCTTTGTCTCACTTTTGGTGAGAATGACCTTTGTGAAAACATAAAGGTATTTATTCATTGCCGAAGGCTTTACTTTCTTTCCTGAGCTATTCAGTGTTTACTTCTTCCTGAGTTAGACTGGAAACTCCTTGGGGCAGAGGCTGTCTCTTCCTAGATTTCTGCAGAGTCTTTGACAATGACACCTAAACAATAAAGTGGCAGGGAAATGAGATATCATAAATTTCATTTTGTTTTAATTATGATGAGATTACTGCAAACTTCATCTCAGAAACCAGTTTCCCTAGGGGATTCAGTATCATATGCTCTATTTCTTCCTTCTAGTAGATATAATCCTCTTTCTGCGTCCTTATTTTGACATGGAACCAAATTCAGCTTTCAGTCACACACAGGCATCCTCTTTCTCTGCTTGGATTTGCACAAAGTAGCGACTAAAAATAGAATTAATCATCCAGCATGGAAAAGAAACTAATCCTGCCTGAAAGTTGGTGGCCACAAGGGGTCTCTTACAGGATGCCATAGGTGTACTGTAGCAGAGGTCCATCCAGGTTCATGTTTTAGCTCGGATCAGAAGTGCATTTCTGAGGCGAATTCTCAGATGTCAGATTCCTTGCTTACGACTGTGCATCAGTCCATGTGCCAGAGGATGTGCCCTGCATCCCTTTGGGAGGAAGCTGAACTCAAGGATACACTCCGGGTTCGGCTGTTGGTCACAAACTCTCAGTAGGTGTGTGGGGCACTGGAGTCACACTGAAGCTCCTCCAAAATGAGCTCAGTGACACACACACACACACCTTGGGGGGGAGCACTGGGTTGGCAGCCTGCTCCTGTCGGGCTGTATGATTTGCTGATGCTCAAGACAACTCAGTGAGATAGGGAAAAGATGGCAACAAATTTCTTTGGATCTTGGATGGGAGGACAGAACTGCTCAGAAAGTTACTTCCTAGCTAGTGCAGGGTGGGTGCTTCATCCTGTCTGCTCCATCCCCCCTCATCCCCAGGCTGCCCATGGCTCTTTTCAACATGATTATTGATCAAGGGACTATATTCAAGGAATACGGTCTGTTACATACATAATTGGTGATCCTGTGAAAATTAACCCTCTTGATTTTTCATTTTTTTAATTTTTTTTTTTAAGGAAACAAGTCAATTATGTTACTAATAGAATATAGTTACTGATCAGATCATGTTATTTCTTACTGAAAAGGTACAATATTTGTAGAAAAAGGTTAACCCTTGACTAATACTGTGAAATTATTCAAACCACAGAACTGTCCAGAGGGTTAAGTGTTTTCAAATGATCTCCAGAGGAAACAGGATTAGATTCATATATTTTTGTCATGGATTACTGTTAAACAAAATCACATTGAAAGGTATTGTGAACCAAGCAGCCTTGACTTGAAAAAGCTGACTTGTTGATTTTCACAGTACATTTTCAATTAAATGTTACCCCAAAGCTTAATTATCATTTAGGAGGATAACCATTGTACTGTGTTATAGCTAACTGCTGGAAAAAGGCTCCTCGATAAATTTAGCGGAACTTTATAGCATCACATTGCTGTCGAGGAGGATGCACTTGTGATAATACTGTATCACTGTCAGGGGAAGCAGAACAGCATTGGGAATTTTAAATTATTGTGCCTTATCAAAGACTGAGCTTTGTGGAAAGCAGAAATAATGGTTAGTGGAGTGTTGCTTTGCAGAATGTCTTGCCAACTGAGCCACGCAAGGGAACAAGCTCCTTCATCTTCCCAGAAAAGCACATGTGGAGCAAAGGAGTTGCTCTTTGCTGCAGAGACCACAGAAACTTCCCTTCTAGCTTACTTGCCACATGTGTAACAAGTCAGAACATTCTTAATAGTGTGTTTTGAGGCAGAGATAGACTGCATTTTAAGAAAGTCATAATCTTTCTTGGTCCTTCTTGCAAGACATATTTTAATTTTAGGGTATTATTTAGAGCATGAGACTGATATTTGGCAGGTTTTCTGGTCCTTTCTGTCTCTCATTCTATATTTTTAAAATAATGGGTATCTATATAATTTTTTCCGTTATATGCAGACTTTTATTCTGAAAGGAAAAATATAGTTTTTAAGTATCACAAGCATATGTAGGAGAAAGAAATGATATTATGTGAGCAAAAGCCTATGTTCTTGTAATTTTGCATATGTTCATACAAGATAACAGTTGTCACATTTATACTGAATTTCTTTCTTGAAACACTTTTAAAAGATAATAATCTTCAGCAGGAACAAAGTAGCATAGTTTAATAGTAAAAAAAGATACAGTTGTAAAAATTTCCTCATAGAAAATATTATAGAAGTATGTTAGACCCAAGGGTGGGTTTTTTGGTTTTTTTTTCTTCCCCTGCAGTATTTTTCTATGAAGTAAAATAATGTTTTGAGGATTGCTTTGGAAAAAAAAAAGCTAAATAATCTTCAGTGTGTAGAGATGACCTAAAAGTGAATCCAGAATATCACATTTTGCTTACCTTGCCTTTGCTAATAGATTCTGAAAGGTCCTGGGGGACCTAGTGGTATTATGAGCACCCCAGAATAAGAGAGAGAGTGAGTTTTAGTCAGGCTAATTAAACCTTTTGTGCCCATTTCTTTTAACCACTTAATTCCTCTGGCTGTCAATAAAGTCTGAGAAAACTGTACGTTTCTTGTCCTCCAGAAGTGTCCCAGTAAAAAAAGAAACA